AGTTCGTCTTCTCAACAGTCACAAGGGGATGAAGGTCATACATTTTTTTTTTTTAAATACGGCTGAGCGTTAATTAAAGTATTTATATGATTATATAAATTGTGACGTGAAATTATTATGATATTTATTGCAGAGTTTAGACCGACAAATATATTTAGATTTTCATTGTGGCAAAGTATCCCCTGGCATATGTTGGACTACATAGTGAGTTACCTGAATGTGGATGCGGATGGTAACTGCGGATTTCGGGTCATCGCGAGTCACATGTATGGTCATCAGAAGTACTGGGCAGATGCAAGAGAAAACATTGCGAAGGAGGTCGACAACCACCCTGAATTATACGAGTACATCTATTTTAGAGATATCGAGGCCGGACTCTGTCGCGTAAAGTGGGCCAGAGGCCCTTGTGGATCGACTCACTGGTTCGAAGTTCCGCAGGACCTCTATACCGTTGCGACCCTATTTAATGTGGTTGTCGTTCATTTGAGCTCTGGTCCAAACGGTGGGCAGCACAACTTATTCAGCACCGCAGTGTTGCCTCTCACTGCACGATCATCGGCTAGAGGACCATGTCGTGAGATTGCCATTTGCCATCTTGGTACCGTAGAACACTACATTTGTTTAGATTTGACTGATGATTGTCCATTACCGCCTATTCATAACATGTGGTTCCGTTACCGAGATCAATCGGTTGTGGGTTGGGAGCATCAGTACCAGTCTAGGTTGCAATTGTGGTATACTGTTCAAACAAATCGTTCTTGAATAAAGAACGATATTATTCAGTTATGGTATGACGCTTCTCATTCAACTTAAGTTTAGCAAATAAATCTAAATAAATGAATCAGTTCAACTTAAGTTTAGCAAAAAAAAAATCATTCAACTTAATGTTTTACATTAATAATTAAAAAAAAAAAACATTCATTACATCATTATTGGGCATTGTCGTAATCCAACTTAAACTTAGCCAGCTGTTCTTCGACTTCCGCCGCCTCCGGACAGTCTGGAACAATCTGCTACAAGGTCGATGTAATGCCCAAAAGACGGTCCACCCACTAAAAAAATGGAAGAATAAAAACATAAGACTAAAATTTATTTAAAAAAAATTATTGTAATGAATTAACATTAATTAAAATTTAGTAACCAACTTACATATGCGGTATTGACACGCGTTGGGACCTTGTTCTCGTCCGGCAGCTCCTCGCCCATGAGAGTCGGATGGGAAACCCGACTGTACCACTGCTGGTAATCCTCAGTCGCCTCCCCGCGATCCTGTGTGGTGTGGGTCAACATACTTGTGTTGACCGTCCCAGACATCGGGAACTGGGTCCAGGCACCTACTGCACCAGCCTCAGAATGCTCAACCTTGTAGTTCCTAGACTCCCAAGCACGTACTGCACTGATTGGCAGGAATATAGGGGGAGGTGACAGTCTGGACATACCCCAGCTGACGCAGACACCGCGCAGGCAAGTACGGCTCGACGACATCGCGGTATCGAATCCATCCGCTATAAAGAGTCCTCGGCTCTATCGCATCTGGGCTGGAGCTGCCGTATGGCAACCATTGCACCTGTTCACAATTGCATAAGAGAATTTATAAAAATAATTATGTTATTTTAAATAACAGGTAACTAAATTTAAATAAAATAAATTCACGTACATCGGAGGCAGTGAGTCTGTCGAGGCGCCGACGGATGGCTGTGAGCCGATCGTCTGACCGTGGCGCATTTCCTACGCCCCACGAGCGTGATCGTGCGAGACAGTCAGGACCGATGGGTAGACGCCCTCGGGGTCGGAAATCGGGGAAATACTCATATATCCAAGACTGTAGAAGAGTCAAGCAGCCCGACATCTGGGCAGAGTCCCCTCGGCTGGCAATACCTAGCTGTCTGTACATGTATGCCAGCGTAGCCGATCCCCATGAGTAACCCCCAATCAAATCCAAGCCGTCGAGCACCTCGTGCAGGAGCTTGGGGTCACTCTACTACCACTCTTGTTGACGAACAATGTGGTAGCCAGCATCATCCACAGCCAAGCACCCGCCTCATCCCTAGTCGGCCGGTCTTTCCCCCTGAATGCCCCCGAAATGGCGGCTTCGGACACCGAACCACGCTGCCAGAACGAACTCATGAGTTCGCCCTTGGTGACCGAAAGTATCGACATGCAGAGCCCATGGCAGGCGTCTGAATCCGGGTCCTTAGCGATCATGACTCCCTCCACTGGAACGCCCAAAATGGCCCGGACGTCGTGCAACATGATTCTCATCTCATCAAAAGGCATGTGAAACGAGTTAGTATCCGGCTGTCATCGCTCCACAAAAGCAAAAAGGAGTGGGGTGTCCAAGTGGGTGTGCATGGAGTCGACCAAATGTGACAGCCCGGTCTGGTCGAGAAGAGCTCCCGCATCGGAAGACATCTCCTTACGCCAAGCCTTCAGATTCTCGATCGCTCGCAGTCTGTTGTGGCATTTCTGCGGCCCCCTCAAATTCCCACTCCACATGCGGGAGGCGACGTGCCCAAGAAAGCTAGGGATGACACTCCCATCAATGGACCCACCGGGCGTGGGCCTCTAACAATCCAAGGTGCATCATCATCGGTCCTAGCTCGTTTGCTAGTACCTGCATTAAAATACAACATATCTGTACATATTGACTTGCTGGCAGATGCATTAAATAAAATATATTTAATAAAACATATTTTATTAGTTACGTTACATTTTAGATTTTACGTTATTATTATAAGCATATATAATTTATAATTATTAATATTATTTTTTGAATTTATAATTAATTACAATTTATTCAACTTACCCTAAATTACAAAATAATTATACTGTAGTTGAGGAGCAGGCCGATAATACTTTTCTAACAGTACCGATAATTTGTTATGATTAAGTGAAAATAATTTATGTTAAACAACAATAAATAAGTAAATTATTTACCTGATGAGGATGCAGATGGGCCAAAACGCCCCCCAGCCTACCGTCGAGGAGCAGGCTGTGTGGGACGAACAGCATGTACCGGACGAACATGCTGTAGAACCGGCTGTACCGGACGAACTGGCTGTACAGTAGGACGATGGTGGTTAGGACCCGTAGGCGGTGCGTGGTCCTGATCATCTGAAGAGTCGTCCGAGTCATAGTCCTCTGGACCCGGCTCCCTCTCGCCGTACGACTCATCATCAGCATACCCCTGCTGACCATAAGGTAATGGTACGCGTGCG